CATCGGATCACCCGATTAGATTGATTCAAAAAACATTTTACTTTGGTAGATGGTGTAAAAAAGGCTTGTACTGATAATTTGCTAATTTTAAAAATTTTCAGAAAAAAAATGAAAACTGTCAAAAATAAATCAAAGTTGAAAAAAATTCAAATTTTCGAAATTTTTCATAATTTTCTAAACAATATTGAATTTTTGAGTAATTTCAAAAAAATCAGAATTTAAAAAAAAAATTGATTTCTTTTTAACATTTTAAATTATTTCGACATTTTAAAAAATAATCGAATATTTTTAAAGATTTCTAGATTCTTAGAAAATTTAAAAAAATCATTTTTATTTCAAAAATTCAAAACAAAGTCGTTGTTTTTCGAAAATTCCAAAAAAATCAATTTTTTAAAAAATATTCAAAATTTTGAAAAATATCAAAATTATCAAAAAAAAATTTTTTTTAAAAAGATTGAACAAATTTCTTGTACACACAGAAGTTGTTTGAGAATACATTCGTCGCCTAATTTAATGAGCACTTATAAATTTACAGTATTTATAATAGATAATATATTTGAAATATATAAAACAATTGTAATTAATTATTGAAAAATTTTCCTCGAATGTTCAATTACGGTACGGGAAGTTTCAGCGATTTGTCTAAAGGCACGATGCCATGCATCACTAGTTTCCTTTTAGTATCACACCACCTTGTTGGGCGATGGCAACAAATTTATCATCATTAGCAGTTGTAATAATTATTGAAATTAAAAAAAAAAAACAGCATCACGGTACGATTTTTTATTAATGGCAAATAGTGTAAATTTATTGTTAGTTTTATCAGTTATTTTCTAAACTTTAATTGATAGAAGTAAGTCTCAAAATGCGTTTTGGCTGCCCATAGAAATGGCTTTATACAGAAGAATTTAGTGAGTATGTAGTTGGAGGCAAATTGGCAGCAATTAAGAATCAAATACAATATGAAAAGTTGTTAATATAGTTTCAATTATAAAATCATTTCACAACCGGTATTACATATACGTAAATTATATTTGGAAATAACGCAAATATCTCAGAGATATTTTTCAAACCTCTTTTTTACGAACAGCTTAAGCAATTCTTTAACCTCTATATAAAATTATTGCATATACCAATCAAATATTGTTAAAATTATTTTACAGTCTACAGTGGCAAATTTAAACTTTAGATAGCTGGCAACAATATACTAAATCTATGCAAGTTTTGATGGCATCTTTGCGACTCTAAGAAATGAATTTCGAAAAGTGGGATCCTAAGCAACTAGATAACTATAATAACCAAAAAAATTGCCCGTATGTCCAGAAGATTTGAAGATGCACAAAAAGTTAAAGAAAATACCTAAATAATCATTGGATGTATGCACATCATCAAATTATCGCGTTTTCATGTTTAATAATCAGCAGTGCCTAATAAATAATATTTCTGAAAAAAAAAAAAAATTCAAACAACGTTTATACTCCCAGCAACAACATTTTACTTATTGATTTTCTATTATAAGGTGCCAAAAACATTAATTTTCTATTCTCATGTCACCCCTTCCCTTAAAGTCTTGTACTTGCTTATTAAAGAGTCTCTTAGAATTGTTAGTATGATTACTATAACTTACACTACGCAAAGTTAAATGATCTGATCTTTGGCTGGATCTTAGTCCTCCATGAAAAAACTCACATACAACTAATCCAGCGGTTTCCAACCTTTTCTTCCTTGCGCCCCCCCCCCCTTTCGAATGATAAAAATATTGCGCCCCCCTTCCATTCTTATTTTTCTAACAATTTAATTTAAATATACTTAATATAACTGAAATTATGCTAAATAATACACAGTATTATAAAAAATATACATACAAACACAACTATTTATTATAAGAATTTTCTGTTTCACATAAGTAAGATCTCACAAATGGTAATAAAATTTCTAAAGCATTATTTGCCAAAGTAGGAAAATCGCCCTTTACTGGTAACCAAAACTTAACAATATATTTTCGTCCTGAAACATCTGCGTCAATATGCTATCACTAGATAAATCAATTATCATTTTCTGCTCTGCTGTTGAATTACCAAAATCATCATGTTTCTCAATGACAAATGGATTTCTAATCCATTCGTATTTGGACGTAATTAGATAAAGTAATGCGAAAATTAGTTTCGTAGACTAGTCATATGACTGATATAATAATAAGATCTTTACTTACTTCTATTTCATCAGTAACACAAGTAATTTTAAAAGTGTAAAACATGTTAAAGTTATAAAGCTATTTGATACTAGCTATATACAGTTCAAATTTTTTCATTAAAGCCGTAATCTTGTCTTTATGAACAAAAGCACGAATTTGAGATCCTTGCATTGATTTAATTAAATCGCTAAGTCTTTGAAAAATATCAACTAAATACGCAAATTTTGCGAGGAACTTTGTGTCCTAAAACAAGATTGCTCCGTCTCTTTTGTTATCAGCAAGAAATATAGCAATTTCTTTTTTGAGTTCAAACACTCTTAGAAGTACTTTAAGTTTTTGCTGATTTGTTTTTGACACATACTCAGCATTTAAAAATAATATTTTTGAAACAGCTTCGCTCCCCTCCTGGAACGGTATGGCGCCACCCCAGGAGGGCAGGTTGGAAATCACTGAACTAATCACTAAAAAGTCCTCACACTTGCTTGACCTCTCTGTTCCAAGAACTGTAAGATTGTTAATAACTTCTGGACTCGGACCTTATACTACAGGAAACTTATTATAAGCAAATGGAGAGTTGAACTGCTGTGTTTAGAGTTGTGCAGCCTTTTGTCGACAATACCTATTGCAGAAATTTTATTTAATTTAGAAAAATAATCTAGGTATATTATATAACAGTAAATTACTGTGAATGTCTGATAAGGTATAACTTGTTACCCAAACTTTTGTGAAACAAGCTTTATATTATCAATTTTTTCTTGGAAAGAAATCTGTGAATGATATACATATACTATCATACACCATTTCACTTTCCACTCTTAATTATATCATTAGAAAAAATGCAGAATTCAGAGAAAATATAAGAAATGTTAAATATATTTTATTTAACCATATACTTACTTACCTTTTTTTAAAAATATTTTGTGCAAAATTAATAATAGTATATATTTAATATATAAAAATTATTATGCATCAATCAAGCATCAATTCGTGTTTTTATAATATTTTTAAAACATTTTCATCATTTTCCAGTGTATGAATAAAACCTTTCCGTCATTTATTTAATATCATTCAATTCAATTATGGTTAGGTAAAAATTAGCACAAAATTCATACAATACAACTGAAATAATATTCAAATAAAATAATGCATTTTTTATCTCAATCTATAACACTTTTACATTTAATGCAATTATTTCAACATTATTTAATTCAGGTTCTATATTAACTCCAATCTACTTATTGCTGCAGGTTAATGATTAACAACAAAATAATATTTGAAAACATTTATTTAAAATTAATAATAATACAGAATTCATATTTTATACTTATCAAAGAAATATCAAGATTGACAATTTGCAAACCTAAATAGAACAAAAAAAAAAGAATCATATTACTCTACATCATATCGATCATTTCTCCTAAACCGTTTTCATCTATACAATTAATTCTTACTAAGCTCCCCAATATTTATATATTTCTAACAATATTCTGATATGTATAAAAATCTAAAAATATACACATAAACACTAATACATTTACAGTATAAAGAATAATTTGAAGCTAAATATTAAAACTAATAATTTCATTAAGTACCCTAATTATACATAACAAAATCTATTGAACAACTTCATTAAAATTTAGTTTTTAACTTTTAGTTATACATATTAAATTTTGGCAGTCTAAATTTATAAACTCATTTTTCAATTTCCGATTTGTTCAATTTAAAACTGATGCGTAAAACTAATTAACACCCATGCATAAAATTACAAATTCATCCAAAATTTTAAGCAATTACGAAGAAAACATTTTTAGCCCAGTGATTATTTTCTCCTAATGTTATACAAAATTATAATTTTTTTATGCCAATGAGAATTTTTCAAGACCTAAAATTGACTTTAGGTGAAAATCCAATTCTTCAATTTCCAAAAAGAAAATTATATGCTTTTGTTATAACTTTCCTTCGAGCCTCTAACATCGCCAATTTTTAAATAGTAGATAAAAAAATAATACTTCAATTAAATCCCAGCTTAGAAATTTTTCTGGTTACATAAAATCAATATTTAAAAATATTAAATTTATTCAAACCTTAATTTAAATAACATTGTAATTTAATCCGAAAAAAATCCCCATATTTGTCCATGTATGAAATAAACTTCTGGGGGCAATTCTGGGGTAAAATAGTAATATTACCGGTCTATCTTCTTATGAGCTGGTAGTAACAAACTGCTAAAAAGCTATGTATTTACTATGCGATCAGGCGTTTTACACATAAAACCTAACCTCCAAAAGGCATAATACTCATAATATCAGAGAGACATCATGAAAAATTGTTATTTGAGTAAGATTTCATGAGTAAAACAGCTAATCGCAAAAGTAAGACATTGCGTTTTGATAGTTTGTTACTAGGATTACCATAATATTTTTATTTTATCCAAAAATTAGCCCATTATTCTGCTTAAAATTTAAAAGATCCACGCCATCAATTACTTATTTGTCGCAATAATCGATCCTTTTGCAATTCTTGATCCTTTCATCGTCTTCTCTACTCAGACTAGAGTTAAATAATAATATACATTACATTTTAACGATAATTATAAAAAATGAAAATCAATACCATTTTTCATAGATATTTTGCAAAAAAATGCAGAGATGAAAATATGATATAAAAAATGCGCAAAGATGGTATAATTATAAAAAGTTGTTCATCTTCATATATTTATAATTATCGTCCAAACAAAAACAAATTAAGCAACACTTGCAAAACAACAAGATTTAGTAATTAATAATACAGAATTCCATCTATGCCATACAAAAATATTAATAAGAAATATTACACTATCATCATATTATATTACTTTGCAATTATATTCCAGTATGTATAGTTTATTTTAATCATTATTTGATACTAATTATGATATATTTATAGATAAAAGGTAGTTGGAGTATAAAATTTGATTATATTATTAATTATTTTGTTCCATATACATATTAACTACAAAAATTCATTTCAAGTTCTCAGTTTCATCATCATCTTAGCTATTATCTTCAGTAAATTTGATCATCGCATTTTAACTTCTAACGTGCAAAATCAGTCTGAAGACGGCAAATGGTCTTCACTGAGATATAAGGAAACTATAACATTAACTTGAATATTAAAATGTACTTTAACACATTCACTGCCAACCTTGTGTTGCTTATACTCCTCCTGTTTAAAATTAAATAAAACCGTTTGAAATAATTGCAGTACAACATTTCAATTTAAACAAGTGCAAGAAAAGCAAACGCACCTGCTCGGTCTCACGCACCATATGCGTGCGCAGCAATGAATGTGTTAAAATTAATTATGAATATATTATGATTTTATACTTGATGAATAATTGTGGCAAGCTGTTGCAGCGTCCTAAATTAACTATCTAGACTTTTGTTCAAAATATTTTGATAAACAAAGATACAAACAACAAACATACAAAATTTATGGTGCATACTTTCAGTCTTATTACATCAAAAATTCTTCTGCATATTTTTTTAATAGTTTTTAATTAATACGAAGATAGACCCGCGACATAGCGTTACTATAACATTTCTATTTTAACAGAGAATTAACCCATAATTTTGCCATTAATAAATTAAAATGATAACTTGTTCTCAATTTATAACAACTGCAACAGCTTTCCCGTAAGACCAGATAAGTTTAGATATTCTCAATATCTTCACTTATCTATTTATTACTTTATACAATAGACAACAATTAACGTAGCGATTGAGCAAGCTTATTATCTTAAAATAACTTAATACAATGTTGAATCTATATTAAATTAATTATCTTCTTAGGCAAATGAAGTATTATTCTCCTTAGTGTAGGGCGATGTGGGCGGTGAGCTCGGACTCACTCTTATCCTAAAATCGAAAAAAACTAATTCCTGGTTTACGATCACATCATTTGTTAGTAGATGGTTATGAAAGAATTAACTATGATAAATGAATTATAATGAAATGATAACTGATGAATGATAATGATTACCGCAAAGCTAGAATTAATATTTACTTCTTGAAGGAGAAGATTATGTTTTCGACAGAAAATTTAATTTGCTTACGCTTTGACCAAGTCATTCTGAATCGTTTGGTACCAAAATTGGAAAATGTATGTATGTGTAAAGTATGTGAGCCAAATTTTGACCTTTGGTCGAGGTTTTCTCAAAAATGTCTGCACCAATATAAGAAGTTTTGAATTTCTCCAATGTTCCATAAAAATTCTTCTTCGAGAATTTAATAAAAATAAGACAACTATTAATTAGCAATAAATTTTAATATTAAAGTTGCCCTAAATTATATGATTATGAGTTTTAATTGTCAGTACACCAGCAGATGAACAAACTACTAAAACTTATGTATGAGAAATTTATTACTAAATAAAGTAAGTTTGCTCAAATCGTAATCATTTGATTAATAATTACTGGAATTTCAATTTTTTTTTTTTTTTTATCAAAATAGGCATTATATCGTTTCACAAATATGTTATTTCAGTACCATTAAAGCACCTTAGTCGTACCTGCTACTAAAAAACTATATAGAATCCAATTTATGATCAATTTTCTCTACTAATTAGTTTCCAAGTCAAACTTTTAAGTATTGGTTTTACCAAGTCGAAAAACCATCCCATTGTGAATTTAATTAATTGATACTATTTAATAGTATTAGATAATTCATTTTATAATTATCAGACAAAATATAGTCGGGGTACAACTTAGGCGCTGGTACAACTTGAGCAACCTTATCCTATTAATATCACAAATAATATTTAGAATAACAATAATAATGATATTAATGTAATAATTTACCTTGGGCTTGAAGTATCGTGAGCGCTTTGGCTTTGCCTCGGACTCACCCTGACCGTTGGCTTTTCACTAGTTTCAGAAGATCTACCAATCTTATTCTTGGCCAAGAAAGTCTCAATTGATTCTTCACCGGAACTATCTTGATCACTGGAAAGAAAACTGTTTAACTAAACTTATAGTTCATTTTAATACATCGATGAGAGATAAACTCAAAGAATTTTGAAATTGCAAAAATAATAGCCTGGATTATATTTGTAGAGATTTTGGTAAAATAATAATATTAATTTATGTATTAACAAATTATCAAATTAATAAACATATTGATTTAAAATTCAATAAATGGTATCAAAATAAAAAAACAACCAGCTGTAAAAAAATAAAATAATTAATAAAATTTTCATGTCTGATAAGGTGTAGCTTGTTTCCCAAACTTCTGTGAAACAAATTGTTCCTCATCAATGTTTTTTCTTGGAAAGTTGTATCAGTGTTTGATGTAAACTTAATATCAATACACTTTCTTGCTTTCCGAAAGACGTAATATATAACGTTATATAAAGTCTCTTATTAAAAAAAGCATAACTCTTACGCCGCAAGTGTCGCCTATAGACGACATGTGGGTCTACTATTGCTTTAATATTGAATAAGAATTAGTTATTTAATGGTTTAGAAGTGAATTTTTTATTTTTAAATAAACTTGTATTGACTTTGTTTAAAAAATCTTAAAATATGTAGCGCTACTGAGCGGCTCGCTGTTTCGTATAGCAGTGTCACTCCGGCGGAAAACACCGCAGGAGCAGAATTAATAAGTTAATATGTTTTCTTTAGCAGTAATAACATATAACAGTAGTTAGTTACTATTTTATACCTATCATCAGATCCATCTTCAGCGCTGCCCCCGTCGCAATCTTCCATTTCTTCCTCCTCCATCATGGCAGCTTGAAGATCCTCGATACGCTGCAGCGCCAGCCTCAAATCGCTCCTGGCACTGGCTGCCTCTGCCTCACATGCCTCCAGGCGTTTTTCAGCGTCTTTGCGCCGTTGAGCGCATTCAGCTTCACGAGTGATTAAGGTTTGGTGTTCTTCACGCAGTTCTCTGGAATAAAAAAGGAGATAGAATATTTCCACATATTTATATATGTATGTAAAAATATATTCACGTTACCTATGGGCACGTTGGAGTTTTCTACAAGTATCTTGAGCTAATTGCTCCCTGGCCTGCGCTTGGCTTGCTTCAGTCGTTGCTCTTTCCAGAGCTTCTCGGTGCCTGTTTACCTGCACCTCTAATCTTCCTCTGGCAGTCTGCTCCATTTCTAATTTGGATTCCAATTCTTTAACGCGCAATTCCATTCTGAAACATTATAAACAAACATATATAATTGACATGATATTAATTATACAATAAAACAAGTTTGTAAACTATTTGCAGACCTCTTCAGAGCAAGCGCGTCGTGTGTATCTCCTAAGGTTTCAGCCGCTTCCAGTCTGGCAGTCAATTCTGAAACGGTTTCCTGTAGCATGACTGCTTTGCGTTCAGCATCTTGTAATTTAGAAGCATGCTCCGCCAAAGCGCGTTGTTCGGTACCTAATTGTTGAACAGCAGCTCGGTATTTCTTCATTACCTATTGGAAATAAATAAAACAAAACAAAAATAAATATTACGTACGGTAATTTCACTTAAAATAAATTCAATATTTAGCAACCATCATTTACCTCAGCCAACTCCTCCTCATTCTCATCCAATTGCCCTCTAAGTTCAGCTCTTTCTCTGGTGGCTTGTGCCAGTCTCTGCTCTGCTTCCGTACGTGCTCTTGTTGCTTCTTCTAAGGCTTGTTGGGCTTCCCTTGCTTCTGCGTCCAATTGGGCGCGAGCTTTGCATGCTGCCGCACGTGCTGCTTCTGCGTCTTCTAGCTGATTGCGTAGAGCACGTAATTGGGACCGAGCTGGAGCTTCTTGCCTTTGTCTGAAAATAATTAAAACATAGTAGACATAGAAACATAAAAATGGAATACAGTTACCTAGAACAATCTTAATCATTTATATAACTTCACAAAGACAGAAAACAACTAACTATGCTGAATCATTTATTTAAATATTTTATGGTTAAGATTTTTATGAAGGAGGATTAATCGAGTGCATCCCATTACATACCTTTCTAATTGTGCTTGGGCATCTCGTAAAAGAGCTTTGGTGCGTTTTAATTCTCTCTTAGCTCTTTGGGCCTGCTCCGCCCTGGCTCTGCCATCACCGCGCGCCTCCTCTTCAGCTGCGGCAAGTCTACGTTCTAGTTCGTGTCGTTCACGGAGCAATAAAGTTCTCTCCGCATGCTCGGATTCCAACTGGGATTCCAGAGCTGAAGAATATAATAAGTCATCGATCAATACAAGTTACGAAGAGAACAAGAGATTTCAATATTACCTTTAACTTTCTTCTGAGCATTAGCCCTAGTCTCTTCTAATTCTTCATCTCGTTGCTGAGCTTCATGTCTGCCCTCCTTCCTCACATTTTCTAACATCATTTCCAGTCTCAGTTTATGCTGCTCCAGTAACTGAACTTGTCCAGCAAGGTCGTCTAATTCTTCTTCCTGATCTCTGGTTTTGTGTTCTAATTCGCTGCGAATCTTGCGCAAAGTAGCTAATTCTTCATCAACGCGACCACCACCAACGCCTGATCCACCACCTGAGCCAGAGTCCAGCTCGAGGCGTAGGTTTTGGAGGCGCTCTTCCTTCAAGTCTAATTCCAAACGAAGGTCCTATAGGAAAAAATAAAATTGAAAATAAATACTATTCTGATAAGAAATGCATCAATTCTACAACGACAATAAAAATAATGACATCCATAATTGATAACACAGGCCAACAAAAATTTTGTTTTTGTTTGGTGCATCAAATGTTAGAGCTAATTCTTATAGTATTTTTTGCGCTGATTTCAAATCTGCAAACCATTTGTATCAGCTCTAGTTTGGAACTTGGAAAGAAGTTGCCGAAACCAGGTTCATTCGAGGTCGTCACGGAAAAGAACTTTTCACAGTGTCAATTAATGTCCCAACTAAGGCCGAATGGGTCTTGTAACCTGGTATGTACAAGTAGGTATATCTCATTGAAATAACATTCTGAATTGTATTACTATTTTGTACTTTCGTACCTTATATTAGGTGCGCAACTAAGTTCTCGCTGTTTGTCAGTATATGGCTCTAGCAGTAAAGGTTGGTCAATTTTGACAAATCCAAAACATCTTGAAGCAAGCTTAGAGTAAGTAAACCAACTGCTGCGACACATAATTGATTTCGTTTTTGCATTATATACTTCTGGTTAAGTGAATATGTCCAATTTTATGCCAAACAATCGTCATTTGCGGAGAGTATTGATTTTCTTCTTCCATTCAAAAAAAACGGCAGCTTAAGTGCATTGAGAGCTACGGAAATGTTGCTCTGAACAAAACAACATGCCGTGAAGGGTTTCGTCGCTTCAAAAATGGTGATTTTAATGTTGACGACCACCATCGTGAAGGAAGGCCAAAACCTTCAAAAACGCTAAATTGAAGGCCTTGTTCGAAGAGGATTCGTGCCAAACTCGAGAAGATCTTGCTTCAGAATTAGGAGTTACCCATCAAGCTATTTCCAAGCTATTGCATGCGTTGGGGATGATTTAGAAGTAAGAAACTTCGGTTCCTTGCGAGTTGAAGCCAAAAGACGTCGAGCGTCGTTTTTTCGCCTGTAAACAACTGCTCCAGCGGCGAGAAAAGAAGAGGTTCTTCATCACATCGTGACAGGTGATAAAAAATGAATACATTACAGCAATCCAAAGAGGAGAAAATCTCGGTTTGGCCAAATATTCACTGCGAAGGTTATGCTCTACATATGGTGGGACCAGGTCGGTGTTATTTGTGTGGAAACCGAGTGAAACCATCACTGGAGGACTGTATCAAATTCAATTGATGCAATTTTTTTATAATAAAGTTACATTCTCATCGAAAAAACAGCGAGAACTTAGTTGCGCACCTAATATATCATGAAACAATATGAATCCTTTGACACTAAAATTGGATAGTATTAGAAGTATTTCTCTACGTGAGCAAATATTTGACGTTTCAATAAAGTTTTTTCAAAAACGGCTGCACCGATTTCAGAAATTTAACAGCCATTCAATAAAACTCAATAAAAACTCGGGTTGATTAGTTTTTGACGACGATCAGTCTTTAAAATTAGTAGGTAAGTGCAACATTTTTCGTCCACGTTTTATCCTAAATTCCTGAACCCAATTTATCACAGTAAATATACATTTTTTTTACTAAGAATCAAAGAGCAGTTTCTTCGTAATTGTTGAAGTTTCTTAACTTCGTTTTCTTTCGCGATTTTAATGATTTTTTTTCTCTCACCTGTAAAGATTGTTCAGCGCCATCTCTCTCAGCCATGGCAACATCTCGCTCTCTTTGAGCCCTTTCCCTCTGTGATCTTTCCGATCTCAATTCTTCTGCTGCATGCTGCAGCTCAGTCTCATGTCTGCGTTGACGTTTTTCCAAGAGTGCATTTCTTGCTCCGCGCTGCTCCAACAAGAGACGTAGATCGTTCTGCTCCGCGGTCAACTTTTGGGCTTTGCGTTTCCACTGGCCGGCAACTTGACGTTGTTCTTCCACTTCCTCGTAAGCATCTGATAACTGAAAAAGGAAAAAACAATTAGTAATTGATTAATTATCATTGTTGAATGATTATTTATTTATAAATTCTGTATATTTAGCAGTTTTTACTGCAGCAAATTTGAAAATTCAGTAAACTCTATATTATAAATATTAGGATCAAAAGCCTCTGTTTAGATAAAAAATGGTAATGTCCAAGCAAAATTTGACTCGAGATTCAAATCTGGAATTTTTATTGGTTTGTCAAATAATGCTAAACCTTAACGAATATATGTATATACCGGGAAGTAATCGTATAATTTAGAACAGAGATCCTAGATTACTGAAATATTTTGGATTTGGAAATGAATCTAGTGAAATATTTAGTGAAGATGGTGATAATATAAATTCAAGAAGTTTTGTGAAGATCAAAACTAAAAATAATCAAATAGTGTAAGGTCAAAACTGTGTGGTGGATATTGCCCCTTTTCTTCAACTGCATTGTTTCACATCGTTAGTTGTTTAATGTAGACATCAAAATTGATCATTCGGTTAGTGAGAACAGTTCTAAGAAAACAATTGCTTTTTAATCAACTTCAACTGGACGGCCAGAGCGTACTTCATCTTTGAGCGAAAACTCACCAGAACAAAATTTGGAAAATCAATTTTGGCACTGCCGTTATTTTAAGGTTCATCGCCATAAACAGTGCATAACCTTTTGTCAGCTTAAGATGCCATTTTACCTTTGCAGAAATTAAAAAACAAAATATGACAAAAAATTTCGATTTGATTTTCCATCTTTCAACGTACGCCAAACGAATACTATACAATCGATCAAAAAACTCTTTTTGACGTATTGACCAGCTAAATTGCTTACTATCCAATACCAGAAGATATTTTACATTTGGACTAGGTCTACGCCAAAAAACCTAAAAATTCTATTGAAACCACCTAAGAGTGAAAGCAACACTTACTCATTTGCCAACCTAATATAAGCATTAATAAAAATTGCAAATATCTTGTGTTCTAAGATTAATTAATTCTATTTGTTTATTGCATGTTTAATCCATTTTATGAACTGAGGATTCAAATTTATTTATTTAATTTTGATTTTGGATACTGGAATCAACTCATTTATATTACTTCTACATACATACATTTCACTGACCTCAATATTTTATCTAAATTAGTCATAATCAAATTATGATAAATATTGATTTTTTTCATAGACAGACCAAAATCTAATGCGAACGTATAAAACAAAGTAATTTATCTTAGGTATAATAAAAACAATAAATTTTATGATTTTGTTACTATGAAAACATTTTCCATAATTAAGATGTTGATCTCAACAAATAATGATAGCTACTGCAAATATCGCTTTGGGCAATTAGCAAACACGACAAATGTATATATTAAATGCAACTTAATAAATAATTAATTTGATTATTTCACAGTATTTTACACATTGAGCATCAAAATGAAGTACGTGATCTTTCTCTGTGTCGCATTTTGTGTTTGCTGCAGCAAAGTGCTAGCAAGTGGTAATTATATACATAAAATATTCTTACAAATAGCAACTTTTAAAAATGAAGAAAAAAATCTTTAAATTTTAAAGAACCGTTACAAGTTCCAAATTTTGAAAGATGCATTAAAAAGAAAATATTTTATTTTTATATTCCTCATGCCAACATATAACTAATTTTCAGGATCCTATCACGCAATTGACGCTGGAAACGGTAAAAAGTTTTTCATTTTCGACACTCCTAAGGTATTTTTTGGCTTTATATTTTATTATATTATGAAAATCTGAATATTATAATAAAATTTTATTTCATGCAGTTGAACTGGTTTGACGCAAATGACTTTTGTAAAAATATGCTTGGACGCAGGTTGGCAGCCATTGAAACTCCATTACAATATGAAAATTTGAGAAAATTTGTTAACAGCAGTAAGTTACAATAAAATTAAAATATTATTAGATGTCGAAAAAACTATTATTCTTTAAGGAAGATCTTATTCTTTTTATATCTCCTTTTTATTTTTCTGTTGCTTTCTTCTCCAAAGATTATCAAAAGAAATTTGAGTTATTCTAAAACAACTACTGAAAATATATAATATTTTTACAAAGGTGATTTTGAAACCAAAAAAATCTTTCACCTCGAAAAATTAAATTTCAACAATTTAAACAGGATTAATGCACCGATTCTGCCGCATAACAGACCAATGTTATGGCAAGGCTATGTTATGAAAAACTTTCCATACTAAATATTGACAAAAGCCATTTCTCAGGTTGTCAAATAAAAAACCTAACCTAGAAACCGCACAAATGTCAAAGAAACGATCTTAGATAACAGGGTTTTTCTGACCCAGTTTCATAACATACGAGTGAGAGTGACGTTGCAGTTTATGTGTAATACGCCTAAATGCACAGCAAATACATGACTTTCTGACAGTATTCAGTATAATTCAGTAGCATAACGTATGCAAGTTGAAGCGTAACATGGCCTTGCCATAACATTTTTCTGTTATGCGACATAATCGATCCCTAAGTTTGATTATATATTTATCTCTTCTTTTCTAGATTACCGTGCCAAACAAATGTTTTGGACAGCTGGTAACAATCTAGCAGATCGATCAAAATTTGTGTGGCATATTGAAAATTCAAAGCCCATGACTTTTGAAAAATGGGTTCGTGGTGAACCAAATAATTACAGAGGAAAAGAAAATTGCGTAGAAGCAGTATACAAATCCAGCAAGGAAGGATGGAACGACAAAATCTGCATCCAGACCAGAAGATTCATTTGCGAATCAAATTGATTATTGAAAAAAATCATGCCATATTATGTAGTTTGTTTATAGAAACAATAATCTGTAATACTTATTATTTTTTAAATGAAATATAATATTCTAATCGCAATATATTCCTGTTCACTTAATCAGATATATTTTGTAATTCCAAAAAGCACAACATAGTTCCCGATCTCAACATTTGTCAGCTCAATATCAATCAGTATGATGATATCAAATTTTCAGTTAAGGATATAAATTTCAAATACAATAAGTAAAAATGGCGTTTCGTGGGCATTGCTGCAACACATACGCAATCACTATCAAATATACACATATCTGACACATATAGTTGGTATAACCATGAATAAAAAGATAGGCTGACCGATAGGTTGCCTTCTCGAGAAAAAATCTCTTTCGAGAAAAATGCATGAAAATTCTAAATATAATAAATTGCAACATATTTCCCATGCAATTCATCGAATACTTTGTTATTCGTTAGATAATATATTTTGGGTCTACTAAAATCTTCTCTACAATAAAATTATAAGTTAAATATAGTATTATGATCCATCTTATAATTTGATTTTTGAATTTTGGATTTTAAATTCTTTAGATAATAAATTTGCAATAAATTTCTGATGCAATGTAATCTTCTGAATAAAAAATAATATTCCGATCCATCTTATCTTTTAATATTATTTAGATAATTGTTATTGGAATATATTCATTCCTGTATTTATAAAATTCTGTAATATCTATCATACTATGTAAAATAAATTTTAAAAGTAACATAAAAATTAAAAGCAATTTTTTTTTCTCGAGTCATAAAATTCACAATAATTTGATAATCAATTATAACTCTCTTGTAGAAAATGTGACAAAATAAATAAATTAAAATATTTCAAAATCACAAATAATGTTTCTTTCATAAAAAACTATAAAACGAGTTTTAATTGATATTTTTCGAAATTATGATAGAAAAATCTTAACTTTTTTCTTACTATGTAAAGTAAACTATTAAAATTAAAAAATTGACAAACAACTTATTGTTTTATTTTAACTATTTATTAATTCATCTCATTCGTTTCTAATTGAGCAATTATAAAAAAATACAACTTAAATTGATAATTAGTTACACATTAAAAAAAAATCATTTCTCTAAATAAATTTTATATTTCAACCATTTTTTATAAAGATTTGCTTATAGAGATCAATCTTGACATCTATTTCACTTTTAAGATTTATCATCGAATAAAAAATAATATTAAAAATTTTGAATCAAAAATAAAAATATGAATATTTGAACAGATCAATAAAAAATACCACATTTGATATCTGTAATTTGTGGAAAATAACTACAGTCAGTATAAGTTGTACCCGAAAAAAAGTTATAATATTAGTTGATATAAAATAGATGTATATGTCATTTAAAAAATAATTTCTTTCATGTGTATCAATAATTGAAAAAATAAGTCATTTAAATAAAGTTAATACGTATAATTTAAAATTTATGCTTCGTATTATGCACTTATGACAAAATGTACCAATTGATTAAATAACCACATAGATCCTCCCAAAACTAAATTACATTCTGTGTTCTTCCCAAAGAATTTATAATACAGATTTATTTAATAATTGTTCAAAAATAAATAATTACGATTTAAACAAATAAATTAAAACTTCGCACAAATACTAGAGTATTCATTAACAAATTACAGAAGATTAAGTGCTTTTGTTTCTTAAATGTACTTTTCCCATACTTAAGATCTTAATCTCAACAAACGATGATAAGTAATACAATTGACATGTGTCAATACATCAAACGTATAAAAAGCTGCAAAAATAATTCAAATCATGCATTTTCATCACAAAGTTTTTTGCAAAATGAAGTACTCAGTTTTGTTAATTGTCGCTTCTTGTTTCTGGAGCAGCAATGTGCTTGCAAGAGGTAAAAAAATATTGCAAATAATAAAATAATATTTTAATATATACCAAAATTTTGTAAAATCCACGTTTGAAAATATTGAATATAATTATTTTTGCATTATTATATGAAATTTAATTTTTGTGCATTTCAGGAGCTTATCGATCAGTGACTAGTCCAGATGGAAAACAATTTCACATATTCGATAGCCCAAGGGTAAGTTCATTTATTTGCTCTTAATTTATTTTTTATTCATTGTTTTGTGCACATATTTAAATTATTGGAATGTGCATAGGCTCTTCATTGTAAAAATGTTATAAAATTATAACCAACCCTAAATAACCAGGTGCCAAACAAAGGAACAACCATAACTTTTAGACAGTTTTTGACTACCAACTCATATGAATATAGATCCATAACATACCTATTTTATACGAGAATCAGTCCCCAGTCATTTAAGCTTAAATTAGGTAAGAAACTCGGAATTCGAGATACCCAGCTCTAAGTCTGTAAATACTTGCATATTGACATTTAAAAGTTGTCCCAAAACCTACATATGGTATGTACACCCTACCATATGTAGGTTTTGAAACAACTTTTAAATATCAATATACAAGTATTTACAGACTTACTGCTGGGTATCTCGAATTCTGAGGTGAACTTACTATAATGACAGGATTAAAATAATTTTGAGTTCAAAAAACACACGCTTTTATAAATTTAGAATTTTCTCATTCAAATTTCTATATGAGAAATACGTATCCAATCAAATAGTAATGATATCTCCATTACTCTTAAATATAGATAAAAAATGTGTCCGAGTAAAAATACTCCCTTACAGCAATTGTAAGAAAATTTCAACCAACTATCACAATTACAACAGCCATTGGGTTGTCTTCTAATGAAAAAATATCATCATATCATTGTCCAAATATAATTATGTCAATCGTAGAGATGCCTATCTTTGCACCGTTACTCCAAAACGGCTAGACCTGGCTTTTGAAAAAACTAACCAGTATGTCTCGAGGACAGTATAAAGCGAATGCTTTTTGGAATAATTCAGGTCGATTGACTTTTATTTGTTCCAATCATATAAGTAAACTAGTGGTGTATGGCATCGTGCCTTAAGGCAAATTGTTGGAACTTCCCGTACCTTAAATATTCGAGGAATACTAAATGTATTCAAATGTATTATTATAATTATTTCAAGTATTATAGGTGATATTTACAACTTTAGCTAGAATTAGAAATAAAATTCGAATTATTCTTCAATATTCAAATATTATAATTTTTTTTTGAAAATTAAAAATTAAAAAAAAAAATTTCAAAAGCAATCGTTTCGTCAACACAAGCAGAAGTTTTTTTCAAATCATTCAAATCGGTTGATCCGTTCTCATAAAAGCTGTCATTTTTAGCACTTTTTGCTCCACATCTCCAAAGCCGCTGAACCTGCCTTTGTCAAAACCTAATCAGCACATCTCCTCATCAATAGAAATCGATCGCTTTTCGAATTTTTGAAATGGGCTGATCTATACGCCCGGAATTGTCGACGAAAACACATTTGCCTCCACACATACACACATCCATTTTTTCTAAGGTATGCCAAAATATTCAGAAACTTCTGAAACATGAAGATAATAAAAAATTTTCATTTTCAATTTTTGGCCCTACGGAAAGTTCAAGAAATCTGAAATTAGATAGCAAACAAAATTTTTCTTACATTTACACTTTGCCATAAATAATGCAATTTGCGATTTGTATACATAATTATCAACCACCACAAAAAACGTTTACAACACCAATCTAGAAAGGTTTTACTTATATTTTATGCAAAAAAAGAGCAGACCTTAAATAATAGTAGTAATAATGCTAAGGTAGTAATGAGCTAAGGTAAACTCCAACTCGATTCAGGGAAGTATAGTAAGAAAGACTTTCCATTGCCATTTCACACCGCAGTGCCCGAATTGGGCTTATTTTCAATAGGAAACATATTTTTGATCTATGTTCTCCAATCAAAATGGACATCGCTGCTGCTCGATACCAGGTTGCCAGAGCAGAGGCTTGAACTCGCGATCCCCTATATAATTTAGTATATTGACTTCATTTTCTTTTCAGTTAAACTGGTTCGACGCAAATAATTTCTGCACAAATATCCTTGGAAACAAATTGGCAGCAATCGAAAGTCAAGCACAGTACGATGCTCTGAGACAACATGTTCGTTCAAGTAAGTGAAAAAGTGAAAAAATAATTATGGAACAAAATTTCAGTCGAATTTTTCACACATGTTGCTTCAAATAAATATTCCTTAATCTTTTACTAATGTTGTCAAAATTCTGTTAACCTTCTTCACCTATACCAATACATCCATTATTTATCATTAATTGATAGTAAGTAAATGAATTTTCAAGTAACCAAATTCAACAAACAATAATTGATAGTAAGTAAATGAATTTTCAAGTAACCAAATTCAACAAACAATAATTGATAGTAAGTAAATGAATTTTTAAGTAACCAAATTCAACAAACAATAATTGATAGTAAGTAAATGATTTTTCAAGTAACCAAATTCAACAAACAACAATAATCCGATATAACTATCTCTATGCAGATTACTTTTTCAAACAAGAATTCTGGACAGCCGGTAACAACATTGCGGATCCGTCCAACTTTGTTTGGTATCTCACAAATTCCCAACCAATGAATTTCACCAAATGGATTCCTGGTGAACCAAATAATCACAGAGGACGAGAAAATTGTGTTGAAGTAGCATATAATTCCTTAAGAAACGAAGGATGGAACGACGAACAATGCACCAAAACTAGACGATTCATTTGCGAAGGAGTTTGAAGATAAAAATAATAAAATTATGAAATTGTACGATGTTTGTTATAAAGTTGTTCTTGTTATTATTTTTTATGGAAGTATAATTATTTTTAAAGCATAACTACGTGTCTTAACTATTTTTTCCCACATACCTTCTTCTCCAATTGCTTCTTAAGTCCGACCAACTGCTCCAGATCGTCTTCGTGCTGCTGCTGCAGGCGTCTTCTGGTGAATTCTAATTCCCGTTGTGCCCTCTCATAACGTCTTCTGTAGGCTTCTGGTTCACCATTTCCATCTTCGGAATCGGAATGATTTCCTGCTGATCCATTCAGATCTGATCTGGCGTAGAGTAATTCCATCTCTAATCTTTCTGACGTCTAAAATAAAAAAAAATCAATTTTATTTTGCAATCTGTATAAATTATGAGAAGTTCTGACAAGTCTGTGTTAAAATAAGGTGATTACAAATTAGTAGATACCCCCAATGGCGTATCTACTAGAGCTTAAATTAAACTATAATAATAAAAAACTAAAAACAAAAGGGAGGGTGAAAGACAATAGAATATAGTAAAATTAAAGTATTATAGTTAATTTCAACTATATTAGGTCTCCAGGTATTTTTCTTTTTAACCTGTTCGGCTGGCCTTCCAGGTAAAAATGATTTGCTAATTGATTAGGATGAAAAAATGATAGAAAAACTATAATTTAAAATTTTAAACAAAATTTACGCAGTTCAAGACGGAAAATTTTACATTAGTATGGAGTAGAAATTAAAAATTAAAAAAAAAACTAGTTTAATATTAATATAAATTAATATTAATTAATAGAAGTATAAATCAATTAATTTTAATTAATAGAAGTACTTAATTTTTAGCATATGCTCCATTATATTTATACTCTATTAAAATCGATTAAAAAATTCATTTAATAATTACAAAAATGCTTCTAGTAATAGACACTAATTCTATCTGAAATTGAATATTAATTCATTCTCTAATTTTGACTCTTCAACAAAATCTCTAAATTGAATCAGAGCAATAATAGGATTATTATATGTTTCAAATATATTTTGATTGATGCCATCTGGATACGGTAATTTAAAAATACTTGTAAAATATCACCATGTATTTAAATATTATTTTTAATTTTTATATTTAGTAATTTTTAAGTTCATTCACTAGAACTTAACCTTTATATCCCAACTTCGATATCAAGGCATAATTTGACTTAGATTTGATTTTATTTAGATTTAGATTAAAAATTACTTTAACTCTTCATAATTAAATAAAACTACTTGCAAAACATTATCCTGTATTTAATAGATCAATTTCACTTTTTATATATTATATAATTTTGAAGTTTATTCACTAGAACTAAATCTTTATATCATCAATTATAAATATTCTAAGAATAACATTTTATATAACGTTTGATTTGATTTTAGATTTAGATAGATTATTTTAACAATTCCTTTTGAAATCTCCTAATTTAAATATTATATATTCACAATTATGTTCAAATTTTATTCTCGTTTGATATTGTACTTATTTTTTATTCTTGGTCAGAAAAATCTCAAGACATTAATCAATTTCAAATTTTAGTGGATTATGCAACAAAATTTTAGTGTTAAATTTTAGTTGCTTTAGTTGTAAAGTTGTCTAACGAATAGGATCAAAATAATGATACATATGTATAAATTTGGAATAATCTAACATTTTTCTTTTATGATATTTGCACCTATTTCATCCTGAATACCAGCAAATTTTTAGACATACTACTAGAAAAACGTCTAAATCGAATGCCAATCCATCGATTGCGCTTCTTGGTATGAGACTAACAAGTAAAAATATAATAAAAATAAAAAAAACTTTATCCAAAATATTACCAATTATAATTTTTGTTATTTTATAAACAAATTAAAAATAAAGTGTAACGTTTTTATATTCCTTTCAAGAAATTTTGTCACAAAATCAACAATTAAACCTTATGCAGCACTCTACTCTATTTATTTAAAACTTGCTAGAAAAAAAATTGCATGCGGGCGCTGAGGACCCCAGAACCGGCCCTGGGAAAGAGAATCATTGATTTGTGGTGCTCTCATACCATGAACCTGCCTTCGATCCATTTATTATTATTAACAAACTGTCGACTTAATATTATTTTTTACCTGCTGCAGCCCTCTATTCTTATCCTGGGCCTGCTGCAATTCCCTCTCCAGGCGAACTCGTTCCTGCTCCTCGCGCTCCAGACGCTCCGTGGCCAAAGTTGCGGTCGAGTGCTCGTCTGCCAAATCTGCCGTCATCTCCGATAACTAGAAAATAAAAAAATAAATAATTATTAATTAATTAATTTTGATAAAATAAACATAATTTTAATTAAATTAAATGCAAACAAAATTAGGTGCAACTAAATTAAAAATGAACTTGAGATTTAAGACATATGTAAATAAGATGTCTTATCGCGTTAGATAAAGAAGATGTAGATAAAATATTTGTTTACATATTAATTAGATAATGAAAAATGAGATGCATTAGTTTATATTAAAATTTTTTTTGATGTTTATATTTTTTTAGGTATAAAATACATAAATAAACATTTGTGAAAGAAATTATTTTTCATCCCTTTTCTTTTTATTTTATTACCATAATGCTTAAAACAGACATGCTGAATTTTTTATTACAATTTTAAACACCAATTTTGAGATTTGCGTCAGTCACTCATTTACAATTTACAATTATGTTTGAAAATAAACCATATTTATTGAACAAGTTTTAAAAATTTAAAATTTCATATTAGATTTTTAATAAAAAAAACAAAGTACCCTGACAAACAAATATCTAATGTTTGACATCAATATTGATTGATTTATCAAATTTATTGAGAAATGAAACGAAAACCTTCCAGTCACTATTTATAATATTATCATAGATGAAAATTAAATTATACTTCCAGAACAAAAATTAAATTAGACTTCCCAAAAAAAAAATTATTTGCTTTTACTTAATTAGAAGAAATAGATAAATTTGGCAAAACTTGGAAATTGACATTTTAAAGTTACATCGTAGTATAAATCTTGAGGTAATGAAAAATGCCTGAATCAGAAGAATATTTTAACCTGTTCCTTGAAAATAATAAAACAAATTAAACATCTGTGCCATGCATTAAACGTAAGTTTATTGATTAAAAATTATTTCTATATTATTCGTAGTTTATATAGATATTTGAAGTTATTAAAATGAAAAATATTTTTTAAGCAAGACAGATATTACAGCTGTTCAAAGAATGAGATTACATCGCCAGTGAAAAAGTAAAAAAAATACAAGCTGTCAATGAATGTATGTTAATTTTAATTACATGAAGTTCTTCAAACACAATTACATGATTAATTAAGTTGCGAAAACAATCTTTGTTTAGGCGTTTTTTTAACATAATCCACTGTGTAAACGCATTCTAGAATTAATTAATGAAGGTTCATTCCTAAATGGTAATTACAATGACAAACCGATCATGTCGTATTTGAAGTATGACTTTAAAGTACATTATTGTTTTTAAATATTATACATATTATTAATGCTATTATGAATATATAATTTAAAATTTATTATTATATACATGTGTATAATGGTTGACACTAATAAATATGTGCATCACGAGTGTTACGTATTTATTTTTACTTAAATGCCATCTTGTACAGTAGCAAATAAGTTTTACTTCAATCGCGTGTGAACCTTAGGCGCACTCATTTTTTTACTATTTTTTGCATGATAGTTACGATTTACACATTTTGTAATATCAATATACATAATGAACAATGTATAATGGATATTGATATTAAAACTGGTTAAGACATTATTCATAAAGGCATAGAAAGGTTTGACGTTGTTTTTAATATTTCAATATCAAAATTTCATGCAGTGTCAGGGTCAATTGCTCGAAGAAAAGTAATAAATTTTCCCAACTAATTTATTTCCACCTATCGAAATAAAATCATAAATCTATCTCGACAAACACAAAAAGATAAGCGTGGATTAATCGGATAATCTGTGTGTGAAAATAATATTTTCCTTGTTGCCTTTCATCAAAACGTCTTGAATGGGCGTGAAATGCATTTATGCGTTTTAGAAAGCAAATTTCACATGACCGACAAATCTGTCCAATTCTACTAAATGACATTATTCATAAAGGAAGAAAGGAAAATTCAAGCACAATAAGTAGAATTAGATTAAATTATTAGAGCAATAAAGAAAAAATACATAAATTATAACTGCAATAATAAAAATAATTCCTAAACATCTTGTTAAGATTAGTATGAAGAAATAATATTAGTTATTGTTGCTAAACAAAATTTAACAAATTCATTAAAGTGCAGTCGTGTAAATTTTACCAAATGATATATTTTTGCAATAATAATAATAATAAATATTGGATTAGCAATTATTTAATCGATTGTGGTGGTAATCATACTGTTTGCCAATTCAAAAACCAAACAACTTTACTTTAAAATCAAAATTCGTATTGTGTTTTGTTATTTTTAATTTTGAATATCAAATAAATTTAATTTCTAACCATTATTTATAACCCATATTCAAATTGACATTAGCCCACTGTACTACATAATTATGATTTTTTTTATTAAATCAAATTAAATTATTCGTACAGCTGGTACACAAAGTATCACTCAATTCACTCTCAATGAATTCGATTGTTTGACATAAAAAAACAAATTGCATCAGTCTGATGTTATTATAACTAATTTTAAATATTATGCAAAGCATTTTGAGTTTACGCCATAAAAACGTTTTGAAATAGCTTGTAGCTAAAGATATTTAAATGACAACTCGTGGAATGATGTGAAGATATTTAGAATTACTTCGTATTTTTATGATTATTAATTAATGAATAAATGATAAAATAAATATACTTTCATATATTATTTTTATCAAATGTTAAATAGCAAAATAAATAAAAATAACAATCTATTATCACTCCTTCACCTCTTCTGCTTCAGAGATCGTCCCTGCTTCAGACGGAGCCCTCGACCTATCCCTGGTGACTGAAGGTGACCTTAAGAACCCTCGTACCATAATATTCTGCGCACTCCTGGACCTTCCTAACCTTTGGCCATTGGGCCCATCTAAGGCGCTGGATAAACCACCTTCACGCCTTCCCAAACCTTTCCATTCTTGCATCACATGATCCGTCCTCTTCAAAAAATCATCAATCTGAGCCGTCAGCCTGCACGAAGCAGTCTTAGGTTCCTGGTGAGCTGGTAAAGGCCTTACTTTCTGCCTAACCTGACTAGGCCCATCCAAAATAAAGCTCAAGTTACCTTCAAAGACAACTGGTGATTGCTCCATGGTTCGAATTTCGTGCATTTCCAAATCCAACGATCTACGGGAATCGAATGTTTGAGGAAAAAATCTTCTAGGAGTTGTAGAATCATAACTACTTCTCCAAGATTTTGAACTATTGCAACTGATGCCTCTACTTGTAGTATCCAGTGACAAACTGCTGCACGGCGAAGGACTCGGAGATCTCGAAACCGGTATGTATAAAGAATGTTTCGTGCAAGTTGTTGACGATTTGCTTGGTGTCAAACTTTGTGAACTTGTTGTGCTGGACAAACGTGCTACTACATTTCCGCTGGTACCACCGATTAAAGTTTCTTTTGTCGCTAGATACTCCTGGTACGCACTTCTTCGAGAAGAAGGTAACGATTTTAAGCCTGATCTGCTCGTAGAAGGTGGATGGATAGGTGGACGGAGCCGCAGGGATGGTAATTCAGGCAAAGGAGCTGTTACCGTTCTCCTTAAAGGTGATGCTCTTGTAAGCACACTGCATCCTTCGTTAGTGTCACCAAGAGCAGCACTTAGGCCATTGGTATTTTCGTTTCTGGATTCGTTGCTCACTTGGGCTTCAATTTGACGTCGGGTCGTCGTGTAATTAGATGAAGAAGCGACCATTTTGTTTATAGCAGAAGGAGATGAAGGCATTTCATGCAGATATTAATTTTGATGGTTAGATATATTATGTCTTTCTTCTGCGTGTTTTATCCATGATAAAATAATTATTCGTCGCACTGAAATTTCGCGAATATTAATTTAAAATTAAATTTATTAAACTGTTGATTTCTTTTAGAACAAAATTATTTAAACAGCACAAATTTAGATTAAATTTTACTTTATAATTTGAATTTACTTTCAAATTATTTTAAGTGACTGCGAATCAAATAAAAATAAAAACTGCCTATTCTATTAGGTAAACTAGACTAAACTGCCAATTTCTATTAGATATTTGTACTTATTTCAAATATTGCAAAATAATAATTTAAACAGCAGATTTTTATTCTTGCTCCTTAAAAGCATTCCCACAACCGCCCATCACATTTTGCTTTAGACAACAAGTTCCGTAACAACATTTCATCACTATCCACATAACAACTTGTACTGATCTGCAAAGCACGCACACAATTTATTTTTCACTGCGTTCGATCTGGCTTCGATCCAAATTCAATTCGATGCAAACTTCTTGGCCTTTGTGCAGAAATTCTCGGTTCGTTAAATTCGATTTAGTATCTCTAATACTTTTTACGCAATATTTGTTAAAGGTGGTACCAGCCTGCAGCAGCAAACAAACAAGTGAGAACCAAACGACCTCGCCGAAGATCTAGTTCGGACTGATTGAAAAAGCTAAAGTTAGTCAGCAGCCAGAGTAACGCCGCTGCCGTCGACCAGTTGCGTCATATTATTAAAATGTAGCAGCAAGATGAGGCGGACCGATGATGCCTCCTGTTGCATTTCGTAGTGACAATGAAATTTAATGCCGAATAACAAAAATCCTAGACGATGATCAAGGAATTTATTTTCAGGTTACTGAATTTTGGTTATTGTATAACAAAGGAACAAGAATCGTACCATACAGAAGAATATATTTTCAACCGTAGTAAAAAAACGTGATTTTCCACATAAATCCACATCTATTTAATATCAACTATTGCTCGTAATTGATGTATTTTATGTATTTTAACGTCCCGTAGAGTAAGTTATTGTAATCGTCCAAAAATCGAGATTGAAAATTTTTACATATCTTCACGTTTCAGAGTTTCTGATCATTTTGGCATACCTTAAGATAAATGTGTAAATAGATGTGTGTGTCTTGTGTGTCCGCAATTTCTCGTCCACGATTTAGGGAGCACAGATCAACCAATTTGAATAATTCAAAATGCTATTGATAGTTTTGTGTTGAATAGTTTTTGACGAATGCAGGTCTAGCCGTTTCGGAAATATAGAGCAAAGTGCAATAATGATCGAA